GTGTGCTAAAGTTTCGTCGGAGAGAATTTACGGAAAATTAACTAACGAACGGAGGTGTAATAATATGATGCTTTGAGGACGTATCATATTTTCCTTTACTATAGGAATCACTATAAGTGACACGAGTAGCACATGCATTCTGGTAGAGATGCGCTATTGTTTTGTGCATATAATAATTGTAGTTGTCCAGTATTATTCCAAATTTCTTGAGAAGTATCACTATTTGGACTGTCTTCAGATCTTAGACAGGTTTGCTTTTTTGGTAAACATCTGTTATTTGCGTTGTTGTTTAATATGGATTACTGTTCACTTTGTTTTTACATGGTGTTTGATTTCTTGCTTCAACTTAGTCTGAGCCAAATTAACTCTTGCATGACATTTGGGGACGTTCCTCTAGCTATTATGATTACTATTCTTATTTTAAATCGAAAACATTAGGCATAAAAGTTAAAAAAGGATCATGTTGGTAACACGTGACCTTATGTCTTGAGACTTATTGACTGTTATGTGAGGGAATTCAATGCTCATTAATGAGGCCAAGCATCACAAGGCACTGTGTGGAGCCACCAGTGATAAAGGAGAGTGTTGAGATGCACACACTGAATGATCCAATGTGCACTTTATTGTATTTTTCATAAACAAAAAGATCTTCAAAAAGATCTAAAACTTGACAAAATTTACATTGATTGTTATCTTTTACCATAAAAGTGATTGTATATCAGAAACGATAAAACATATGAGATATTTGAGTTTTAAAGGAGTGTAGTTAATTGCCAGTTTTATGCCTCTGTTCTAAAACAGGTTAATAGCAGGGACATCAAACCACACAAAAGTATTAATTTTGCATATGGATGACCAAGAAAGGACTTCGGAAGGAGCAATTGAAGGATCCAGACATAGTTTGCGAGCTACTTGCTGCAGAACAGGGTAATGTGCACCAATCACAAAGTAGCAAACATAGTAAATATGTACATGAAATCTGGCACTTGTATAGTCAGTTACAAGTGCAGAGTGATATATTGTACCATCATTACCACTGAGACGTGGTAGCTAACATATGTTACATTTCGTAGCCCCTAGAGATATAAGAAAATGCATAATGGGAGATTTAGATGCTAGCAGGAAGTATTGCAAGTTATTGCTCATGTGCAAAGGCATTTTTCCTGACCACACTCGAGTAAAGGCATTGTGCCAAAGTATTGCCCAGAGAACCACTGCAGGGAAACTCAGACAGAGAGTATAGGTTCCCCACTGGAGTCAATTAATTGCCTTGGACATAGCTATTCCTCTGTCTCAAACTGAAAGAGCTAAATGATATGTGCATATCATTATTGATAATTTCACCAAGT